AAGAGCGTGTAGCGACACGACTCAAGTACTGCGCAATCAGGCTTTGCCAATCCCTTTGTGTGCTGCCGTGGTCCCAGCGCTGTTGAACCGAGCTCATGCTTGGCATGCGGATCCGCCTAATGATCCATCACCCGCACAGCTCCTTTATTCAATAGCGGGAGCCAGTTACTTAACCTGGGACGCCGGCCGGTATCCACTGACCCTGACTCCGCACCAGGCAAACAGTGTTTGGCTGCATCGTTGGTGTAATGATCCTGGCAAGGTCCCTGTATCCGCGTCAGCAGTGGAGGCCTGCATTGAGGTTTATAGAGGTATGAATACACCCATGTTCCGCTTGTTATTACACCCACTGGTAGGGGGGCTAATAGGGAATGTTCTAAGTAGTCTGGGAAAGCTCACCACAGTGCGCAAAGTAGAATCCAAGCCCACCCCGCCAGCGGTGGTACAGGAGGTGGGAGTGTGGAAAGCAATGCCTAGAAAACCCCGAACTGATTGTTCACCGCGTGGACGACCGCTGGACCGCACACTTAAAAAGCATGCTATGTTTGGCTTTCTGCTAAGCAAAAGTGGTCTGACAAAGAATCAGCTTCATGGGTTAGGGGATGAGGGGCAAAAAATACTGGCGCTGAACCTAGGCTTTAAGCTTAAAGAGCAGGAGCCAGACAGAAAAAAAAACGAGTAGCGGCCGTCGATACGGGCAGCAACGGCCAAACCCCCAATGACGAACGCCCGTACGCAACCTATAGTGAGTGCAACTGCAAATTCTACCCCTACCCCTACATGCTTTTTGCTAGACACGGGGGCCCAAGTAAACGTGTTGAGACCTGAAACGCCCCATGTCAAGACATCCAAAGTCATCTTTGTACAAGGGCTAAATGCCACGACATCCGTGCCTGTGGTCAAGTTTTGGATCAACAAAAGGGCCCTGTATGGAGTCTTAGGGGGCATAAACATCTTGGGCATCCCCGCAATAAAGGCGTTGGCCTTAAAGAATGCCATATATCTAGCACTCCCATTGACTGTGACATCAGGCGAAAAACACCAGCCAGTGCTAGCAAACCCTACACCCTGGCAGTACCAGCCAATCCCGACGCGCACTGACCTGCAGTCCCAAATCCAAAACCTCTTAGCTGACTTCTGCAAGCGAGAGTGCATTCAGCCTGTAAAATCCTCCACCTACCTTTCGGCTGGATGGGGAATCCCTAAACCAGGAAAGCCGACGGAAGCTCGTCTAGTAGTGGATTATCGACAAGCGAATCGTCGCTGTAAACCACTCCAAATGCCCGCCGCACAAACCGTCTCAGACATCCTCGATGGCATGACCGAAATACAGAGGGGCGGAGAATGGTTTGCCAAC